ATCTTAAAATTATCAATCTTGGCAAGAAAATTTGCTTACACCATATGGCCATATCGTTTTAAGGCCACCACTAGGTTAAAGTACCCCAATATCAGTAGGTCCTATACTCATTTTAACATGGGAGACAAACATGCTAATTGTAACACTTACAAACCAAAAGGAATCAGGTCTGTGTTCCAAATATACACAGAAAAAATGGTAATGGGGGCACAAACAGAACATGCCTTTCTCACCAGTGGTGCTTCTGTTCAAACCAAAATATATACCATATACAAAGAGAAACAGCACACACAGATATACAGTATGTTATTTAGTGAGTTAGTTAATTAATAATTGCTTGCATATTGAAGGTTTTTGCCTTTTTGTCTACAATTAAGAAGTTTAGAACATCTTTAGCCTCACTGAGATGAAGCAGGTTTTTGAATTATAGAAGTAGATTGAGTTAATAATTTCCAACCCATAAGGTTTCATTGGAGAATCAATAAATGGCCCCTGGAAACCTTTAATTCACATTAACACCCACTAGCAGAACGTATTCAGTGTAGAGAGTGATATTATTTTCTTCAAAAGTTAAATACTTTAGATTGTCTTCATCCACCAACCAAATATTCCTCTGCTCTGACCTAAAGAGACTGTAAAAGATCCCTCTGTTTCACAGTATACCAGAGCATATTTGACTCTGAAAGTATGGTGCTGTTAAATAACAAACAAAATGGAAGGAGGAATAATCATTATATATATATAGCCTTAATAATAATGTGCAATAAATTGTACTTCCTCATTTCAGATATATTTAATGTCTGAGCATTATGCCAATAAACAAATATATTTTTTACATTCCAGGGAGATTTTAAGAATATGTACATTGATATTTGCTATCCTTTACTAATGTTTATGACTTTGTCTAAAGACTATTAATAGATAGACAGGAACTGCACTCCTCCAACTGAGCTGAAGACTGGGTGCAAAACTGAATTAGGGGCCAGCACTCCCCCAGTACATTAATCAGCCCTCCCCTAAAAAAAGGCTTGACAAGGACCCACAGTTGGGTTAGAATGTTGCCTTTGAGCTCTGGTATATATATATTTTGTACTGATTTGTATAAAGACAAAGGATAATGTAAATTTTTTAATTAATTTACACACCCCAACTATTTATGCACATTTGAACAAATTCTGTTCATATTTTACAAACCTTTAGGTATCACTGAACAACATTTTTTAAAACAAACTAAAGTCATGTACTAATATCATGAGCTAGCTTTGGACGTTAGAAAATACAGGACTCCTGACAGTATAATGCTTTTATGCATTTGAAAACAATTAAAAATATACAGTAGGTCCAGCGGCGGGTAGGGGGCCCTAAAGTAAAATAATGGGGGGGACCTATTGTCCTCTCCCCAGCCCCCACTCCTGAGCGGCGGGTGGGGGCCCTAAATACCAATAAAAGGGGGGGACCTATTGTCCTCTCCCCTGGCCCCCACCCCTGAGCGGCGGGTGGGGGCCCTAAATTAGAATAAGGTGGGGGGACCTATTGTCCTCTCCTGGCCCCCACCCTTGAGCGGTGGTTGGGGGCCCTAAATTAGAATAAGGGGGGGACCTAATGTCCTCCCCCTGGCCCCTACCCCTGAGCGGTGGATGGGGGCCCTAAATTAGAATAAGGGGGGACCAAATGTTCTCGCCCCTGGCCCCCACTCCTGAGTGGTGGGTGGGGGCCTTAAATAAAAATTGGGGGGAACCTAATGTCCTCCCTCCTGGCACCCACCCATGAGCGGTGGGTGGGGGCCCTAAACACCAATTAGGAGGGGGACCTAATGTCCTCGCCCCTGACCCCCACCCCTGAGCGGTGGGTGGGGGCCCTAAATAGCAATTAGGGGGGGGACCTAATGTCCTCCCCTCTGACCCCCACCCCTGAGCAGTGGGTGGGGGACCTAAATAAAAATTGGGGGGACCTAGTGTCCTCCCCCCGGCCTCTACTCCTGAACGGTGGGCGGGGGCCCTAAATTAGAATAAGGGGGACCTAATGTCCTCCCCCCTGGCCCCCACCCCTGAGCAGTGGGTGGGGGCCCTAAATACCAATTAGGCGGGACAACCTAATGTCCTCCCCCTGGCCCCCACACCTGAATGGTGGGTGGGGGCCCTAAATAAAAATTGGGGAGACCTAATGTCCTCCCCCCTGGTCCCCACCCCTGAGCAGTGGATGGGAGTCCTAAATAGCAATTAGGGGGGACCTAATGTCCTCCCCCTGGGCCCCCACCCCTGAGCAGCGGGTGGGGGCCCTAAATAAAAAATTAACCTCCCCTCCCACAGGTGACTAGGGGTCCCCAAACTCCTAGTCACCCCCCTCCCCCAAAAAATTAACCCCTACCTACCCCCATCACCCTAAAAATAATGAGGAGGGAACACTAGCTAAATACCTGTAAAAAAAATTAAAAAAATAAAACTTACCATTTGATGTTTTCTTTCTTCTAAAATATTCTTTTTTCAGTCCCAAAAAAAGGTCAAATAAAAATCTAAAATAACCGACGCACTTAAAAAAAATAAATTAAAAAAAGAGCAAAAAAAAAAATCCATCTTCACCCATGGAGGGCCCCGCGCAGACTGAGCTCTGCAGGGCGGGGCAAGGCTTATAAAGCCTTGCCCCGCACTGCAATTAGGCTCAGAGCACTCTGATTGGTGGGTTTAAGCCATCCAATCAGAGTGCTCTGACAGGTAAATGAAGAGCCGACAGGTAAGTCTCTACATTTACTATCACAGCACTCTGATTGGTTGGCTTGAAATCCACCAATCAGAGTGTTCTGTGTCATTTTACACAGCGTGGTTGAGGTCACAGGACAGAAATGTAACCTCGTTTCTTACTTTCTGATATGTTTTTTAAATTTGAGGATTCATTACTGAGCTAGTTGTCTCAAAATAAGTGAAATGTATGTATTTTTCAGTTAGATGTTTTTTTGTTTCTTCATTGAGATTGAAATACATTGAAATTTGATTGAAGTGATGAACCTTCACATTTTTAAATCCCCTGAATTGTGTTGTTCATCTGCAAACTCTGAGCTTTGTGAGATGTAGTATGCTGTTACCATTCATTTAAAGGGATTAAATATTGGTTTTTAACCTTATACTTTAACCCCTTAAGGACGGTGGGCATTCTATGCCGTCCTTTTTAAAGTGGCTCTAAACGCCGTCGGGCAGCATAGAACGTACCCACCATCCTTAATACTTACCTAGTTGTCATTGCCCTGCCAGCGATCGGCATTGCTCCCGGTCTGGGGGGACTGCCTGACAGCACAGACAGTTACCCATCAGCAAATTAGGCTGAAAGAGTGGTCACATGGCCACAATAGGCGTCAATGCATCTGCCTGGAGGGAGCCTGCCTAAACTGACAGGCAGTCTCCCTGCTGCTGTAAAATAAAAGAGAAATGTCAACGAATCTAAAATAATTATTATATCTATATTACATATCTATATATCTTATATATATAATGTCTTACTAAGTGTATTTTTACACTTAGAATTAAATTACACACGTGTGAATATATATATATATATATATATATATATATAATATATATAATAACTATATATATATTGTATATTTATATTATTGTGAAATATAAATAATAAGTAAATACAAATAAATAAAAAAATTTAATTTACTAAAAAAAACATGTAATATTAGTCTAACTGTATTTTAATATATATATATATATATATATATATATATATATATATCAAACTACACTTAGAATGAAATTCTATATATATATATATATATATATATATAAATAAATAAAAATATTACAAAATATATTTATATCCATATACATAATTACATAAATAATTACATAAATATACATATCAAATATAGACATCAAATTCATAAATATATATATATATATATATATATATATATATATATATTTAAATTCTATGTGCATATTTATGTAATATTTTTACATAATTACTAATTTTGTTACACAAACACATTAGGTGGAGCTGATAATATACTTTACTCTCTTCTTAGTACAACCAGGAATGCTGAAAAGATAGAGGGGTACATAATAGTGCAAATTATCTTTTTAAAACCATACACGTATGTGGATTTTATATAACACACTCACAAGGATAGAGCCATATACTAGACCTGGCTCTTGTGTGGATATCCTTAGGATCTTTTCCGGGTGGTCCAAATCCCAAAGTGGATGATATGTAGATGATCCAATGTCCTCCCAGAAATGATGAGTTGCAGGAGTTAGGTAGGGTAAACAAATTAATTTCAATAAAACAATAAATAAAAAATTGAGCTTAAAATAATGTCCATATATTTACCAAGACACGTTTTGCCAAGTGTGGCATCCTCAGTTGGTGAAAGTAGTACTGATGTGTCCATTTATTCTCTTCTATACAGTTTTTTAATCATTTTCAAGATCTTTTTCTTCCGTCGATGTGTTCTTCCTGTTGTTCTCCGTCATATCTTGTCACGTGAGCGGAACCGGCACCCTTGGAACGCACTTTGCATTTCATCTCTCTCTATGGATCGGCTGAAATTGCTAGTATGAAGGAAAGTCTCTAGTGGAACACACCATGCGTTCCACCTTCATTTTTTTCCTCTTCCTTACTAGCTATTGTATATTAAGAGTTGATTTACATAGAACTATTACAAAATGATTATACATTATGCTAATGCCCTAAATGGCATAGGAAAGAGGAAAAAATAAATATATTAGAATTTTCATAATTGACTTGTATTGTTATCTAGCAGCAATGCAAAGGAGAGTAATAAAGATAGAATATATACCCAATATAAATCTCCAAAGTTACCTGATTATAATGAAGTTAGATATAGTGATACCTCTAAGTGAAAAGGAAAGGGGAAAGGACTGTGTGTTTATAAAAATACTTTAAACTTATAATTAGTGATGTCCCGAACGGTTCGCCGAACGGTTCGCCAAACAGTTCGCCACGGACGGCGAACATATGACCCTGTACCTCACAGTCAGCAGACACATTCCAGCTAATCAGCAGCAGACCCTCCCTCCCAGACCCTCCCACCTCCTGGACAGCTCAGAAGAAGCTAAGAATGCAGCTTCAAAATGGATGCTGTCCAGGAGGTGGGAGGGTCTGGGAGGGAGGGTCTGCTGCTGATTGGCTGGAATGTGTCTGCTGACTGTGAGGTACAGGGTCATATGTTCGCAGTCCATGGCGAACCGTTCGGCGAACCGTTTGGCGAACCGTTCGAGACATCACTACTTATAATGTGAATCCTTAAAAATACATATAAAATACATATTGATAATGTTATTCATTTACAAATAAAAATTATATAAAATGTCTACATACGCACATAGAATTATGATAGGAAATGACACAGTTCAAAATCCTGATTAAGACCATATGGGATAAGTGTTTTCAAATTATACATACATTTCATCTCTTCTTTACCTATTTTCCTATTAAAATCCCCTTCTCTCCAATCTTTCTGAACTGATTTGATAGCACAGAAGAGAATATTCCTTGGGTTGTTATTTTGGCAGGTCTTTGTGTTTCTATGTATTTCTATGCCCTTTTTTATATTTCTTACATGTTCTGCAATTCTAATATGCAGACATCTCGTAGTTCTTCCTACATAAACAGGGTAGCTGGTCATTAATAATGAATTCTTTATCCTCTTGATAGTTAAAAGAAGTTATGTGTCTTTTTTTCTGATTGGTCTCTCTACACGCCAGGCAAGATCCACATCCATAAAAAACTTTACCTTTATTTAAAAAGTGATCTGTTGGTTTGGTTTTAAAACTACTTTTTACTACTATATGTTTCATATTCCTGCATCCCTTGTGCACTATTTTAGGTTCAGGAGGTAGTAATTTTATTGATTGCAATTTGAGGGACCTTGGAATTTTAAATTGTGTATTGTAATAAAGATTGTTTGGTCACTCCCCTTGTGCCAACTATCTTTTTTATACACATGATTTTTTACCTGGCATTTTTAGTATCCTGTACTCCAAGAAATCCTAGGTGGGGATAATACCGCCAACGCTGTCACCAAAGAGCAGTTAGTCTGTTCTTCGCTTGTGAGTACTATTTTAGTTATTTTATATTGTTGCTATTTTTCAGTGAGCACTATTAGTTGTCTCTTTTTACCCTTTTCCAGAGTGTGGACCATACCCCAGAACGAAGAAATTTACAGCATATCCTATAAGCGGGGATTATACCGCTGTACACCATCCACACTTGAGCTAGCTATAGCTCTATCAAATGTGATTTTATTTCCATCTATTCCACTAACGAATATATTGGATTGTTTATATTGCACTATTGGTTCATTGTATCAGGTTTTGTCTTTCATATGAGTGGATTCATCTGGATAAAGACAGTGAGGATATTACTCCTGATCAAGCACTTTATTCAATATTTGATCTGAGTACTGATATTTGAATATTTTATTCCATTTTTTTTTGTGCTGTTGTACTATTTGAAATTTTTGCTGCTCATTGTATTATTTCTTACTGTAGGATTTGGCGCAGCACTTTTCTCCTTTTTTTTTTACTATTTTTGTATTTTAAGGGTATTGAGGGATTTCTCTTTTAGGGTTGCTGCCCATCTGTTAATTAGCGCTCACTCTTTTTTCTTGTTGTCAATTTGAGGGACCTGCCTGACAACCCAGGCCGAAAGTCCAGAGAATTTGCTAGCACTATATTTAACCCTGTAACTTTGCAAGACACAATAAAACCTGCCATGGAGAGTACTGTTTTACTCGGGAGGCTTCACTGAACACAAATCTTAGTGCTTCAAAACAGTAAACATATCACAGCGATGATATTGACAGTGAAAGTTTAGTTTGTTTTGTATTTTTAACACACAAATGGCACTTTCACTGATGATATCATTTTTGTGATATGTTTTACTGTTTTGAAACAATATTTGTGTTTTATTTTGTTAATATTTGTGTTCAGCAAAGTCTCCTGAGTATAACAGTACCCCCATGTACAGGTTTTATAGTGTTTTTGAAAAGTTACAAGGTCAAATATAAGGCTTGATTTTCAGTTTTTTCACATAGAAATTTGCCAGATTGGTTATATTGCCTTTAAGAGCATATGGTAGCCCAGGAATGAGAATTACCCCCATTGCAAAAGAAGACAACTTAAGGTATTGCAAATGGGGTATGTTCAGACTTTTTTAATAGCCACTTAGTCACAAACACTGGCCAAAGTTAGCATTCATAATAGTTTTTAAAATTTTTGACACACAAACAAATATAAATGCTATCTTTGGCCAGTGTTTGTGACTAAGTGGCTTCTAAAAAAGACTGGACATACCCCATATTGAATACCCTGGGTTGTCTACTTTGCAAATGGTATATTATCATGCTGATAATTCTCATTCCTGGGCTACATTACAATCTCAAAGGCAACATAACCGTCTGGAAAATTTCAGTGTGTATAAACTGAAAAATAAAACATGCTATATTTGACCCTGTAACTTTCCAAAACACCATATAACCAGTACATGGGGGGTATCGTTGAACTTGTGAGACTTTGCTGAATACAAATATATACTAAAAGATAACAGTATTATGACATTCACAGTTAAAATACCACGCAAAACTAAAACATTTTTTAAAAACCTAATTTCTCACACTTTTTTAGATTTTATTCATAATGAATTCTGTTTCATATATGAATAGTTCATGTGAAATGAAAGCCCTGTTTCTCCTGAATAAAATTATATATAATACGTGTGGGTGCACTTAATATAAAAAAGGTGAATTACGGTAGAACAGACATATATTGCAAATTCCGGTTTTAGTTTCAGTTTTGTTTTGATCACAACGTGTACAACTGACTTAGTCCTTATATTTCCGATGACGGTCCTGAACCGTCAGCGGTCCTTAAGGGATTAAGGAGTTAACTACAGTCATACAAGCTCTAAGTCTAGCTTTAGACCATCAGTCTGAACATATTGCTGTAAGAAGTGATAGAAATTTGGCCGGAGAACTTGATGCTTTTGCTGAAACAATATAATTTGTCAACAGAGATGTGGCATCTTTTTTGATTTTTTTATATTTTGCTTGAATGAAGGAGAGAGAAGGAGAGAAACATGAGATAAAACTACTAACTATTGTTATCAGATAAATTACAGTGCCCTACTTAGTGTTTTAGGAATACATTTTTAGCAGACAATAAATGTAAAACTGAGAAAATGACATGCTTCTAAATTCATGATACCAGTTTTTGAATATATTTCTAGTTGCATGGCAACAAGATCCCTAACTTCATAAAAGAGGATGCTGTTACAATGGCTCCAAGTATGACATAGAATAATGCACTATATATAGGGAAAGACTTTGGGATGCAAACATTTCTGCAGGTATCATGCACCACTTTTTACCTATACATCTATCTCTGTGTACCTTCAGTACAACAGTATGGAATGAAAAACATGTGTAAGAAATACTTCCCTGATACAGCATTTAACAGGGAACTATAGTCACTAAAACAACTTTAGCTTATTAATGAAGCAGTTTTTATGTATGGATTATACCTCTAAAGTCACACTGCTCAGGGGATATGATAACATTATGGAAATATATCCAGGGCCAATACAAACAATTGTGTGGAAATCTATTCACAAACAGGACTTAGGACACAAGGTCATGCGTTTAGACTGGAAGAAAGAAGATTTAGTGTAAGGCAAGGGAAAGGTTTTTTTACTGTAAGAACAATAAGGATGTGGAATTCTCTGCCTGGAGAAGTGTGTTTTCTCTGCCTGAAGAAGTGTTTAAACAGCAACTAGATGAATACTTGCAAAAACAGAATATTCAAGGATATAATCTTTCAATATGGAGTAATAGCTTCTTGATCCAATGATTAATATGACTGCCATTCTGGGGTCAAGAGGGATTTTTTTCCTAGTTTGTTGCAAAATTGGGAGTGTTTCCAACAGTTTTTTGCCTTCTTTTGGATCAACAGCAAAAAACAAATGTGAGGAAGGCTGAACTTGATGGACACATGTCTCTTGTCACCCTTAGTAACTATGGAACCTGCGCACTATCCAAAATCTGTATGTACATTTAAATAACTGAAGAATTTTTAGTATCGCTCCAATGCGGTAGCAATTACTATACTACATGTCAACCCCAATACATACAGTAAAAACCAAAGAAAAAGTTACTTGCACACTATTCCAAATCCCTGTGTACATTTATATAAATGGAGATTTTTAGTTTAACTCCAATGGCCATTAGATATAAACCCACCTGCCACGTCAAGGCAAACCTCTTAGGTTGGTCCTACACTAACAATTCGCCTTACTGTCTGCACGTAACAGGTAAAACCTCTAAGAAGACAAAGGGGTAATTTTTATGAACTCCTACATACTTATTAACTCTTAATAGTACACACATTAGGTGGGCGGCAGTATTGAAGTTAATATTTTCAGTAGCCACCCTTGAATTGTGGGAATTTGAGTGCAGGGCTTAAATTTGTGTGTTTGTATTTGCTTTAGTAGTTTACAACCATGTTACGGTGCGGCTGCATAGTCATGTGTGGTTTGAATCCTGATCAGACCACCTTGCCAGTAAGTGTCCTTGTTCAAGACACTAACGATACCTAACCACCTACTTCAAATCCTCGTAGATTGTAAGCTTGCTTGAGCAGAACCTTCTTTACCTCTAAATATCTCCATTCTATGATTGTAAAGCACTGTGGAATATGTTGGCGCTTTATCAATAATATCTATAACATTTTGATAATTATGTCATTTTCCCTCTTTTTTCTGTGACGTTTCTCTGAGTAAATCTCAATTAGTATTCCAGAAGTAGAATGACGGTCTCTAATTCTGTGAAACCGGGACTGTACTTTATACTGGTGACATTTGTAATGTGGTAAAAACAATATATAGATAACTTTCACTATATGGTATTGCTGTGACAGGTGCACTTAGCATATTGAGTTCATGATCTCTACACTACAATCCTTCTAGCAAAATGTGATTGCTTTTGTTTTCCAAGCACTGTTGAAGGACAACTATCATCTTTTTTAATATCATATTCATGTCATCATTTTTTTTTTCAAGAGAAATAGATATTTTTTAAGTGAAGTAAATGAGAAATCCCTACCTACATATTATTGGCTTATATATTGCCAACAATATGTTTTTAGAAGA